TCTTTTAGGCAGAGTACAGACTCTAGGCATGGAGTAAGTGAAAATTAACAAAACAGTTATAAGAACCAACGGAACGTTCAAGAATCGTAGCATAGTCTCGAGAGGGTACTCGATTAGAAATAGCCAAAAAATAAATAGTTTTTTTATTAAACTTTTTAAATTTGACTATTCTCGATGAATACTTATAGTAAAGCTGTATTAAAAAAATATTCCTAAACATTAATATAGAGCGCTTTTAATGAAGCAAAACCCTTAAACTTCAATATATGTGCTTTACATGCATTTTTTTAGCAAATCAAGCCCATCATACTATCATATAAGTTGATCATTTTTTTTTTACTTTTTAAGTTTATACATAGTTATTATTATTAGAAGTAGTACTAGTAGTAGTAAGTAGTAATTATTACATAACAATTATTATTATAATATTGGATTTTATTTTCAATTCACCTTTACACTTCTGGGTAGATCCATTTTCTCCATAGCTTTGTCTACTTCCTTTGCAATAGGCACAATTTCAGATAACAAAACGGATTTTACAGTCGTTAAACTCAAAACCAACTCGAGTATTAAAATTATAACACTTAGGTTTGCTGCCATCATGAATAATTAACTGTATAGCTAGTACTTTGGTTATTCGTATAACGTGCTTTATGTTGTAATATACGAGAAAATTATTGAACAGAAAGTACTAGTGTAGTGTAGCTATATTATACAATAACTTAATAATGGTATAGTATCGAATCAAACGCTCATCCATGAGTAACATAATAGCAAATAGAAAGTCTACTTAATTTTTGTAACGCTTCTGCGAGTGTACTCGTAGATATACGGGATAATAAAAACTGTATGTCACTTTTTTTTTCATATTTTTTTTTTTATAGGTTTTTGCTAAGGTATTAAAAACACCAGTCAGTGGGGTCGGGTCATAGTGTGGACAGGGAGGAATTTTTAAATCTGAAAGTGATTAAGTCCTATAAACCTGTGACCTCCCCGTCCTTACTATGCCCCGATCCCACTATGCTCCGTCCCCACTATGCCCCGACCCTAATCTACTGGTTTTTTTAATACCTTAGCAAAAACCTATTTGTTAAAACTCAGTGAGATATTCTCACTGAACAGGGTCAGGAAGGGTTATACATAAAAATTTGAAAAAATTCAAGAATTAAAAATTTATTGAAACTTGAGTGGGGTATTACATGACTTAAGGTTACTCCCACTTGAATGTCTTGACTAGTTCGCCAACGTTTCGGAACACTTGCACGCGAACTAGTCAAGACATCCAGGTGGGAGTAACCTTTTAAGTCATGTAAATAGTGTAAATTCAAGAATTTTTTTTAATGATTGAAACCATTCTAGGGGGCGAAAAATAATGTATTGCAATTTTCAAATAATTTTATTATCATAAAAAACATAAAAGTGAAATTCACTTGAACAATAAATAATGATATGGACATCACAACTTATCAAAATAATTTGTACTGTAATATACTATTTCTATTATTATTACAAGCATATTTTCGGAAAATGTATTTATATTTATTTAGTAGCATTGAGATTTACATACAATAATAATATTATAGCTTACAAAGTCACACTTCATCATCTATTACTGAGGTTAAGATCATTGATAGACGAGACACTCTTAAAAAAAATCAAAAAGAAATAACTTAAATAAAGGAATTGTTAATAGATAAATTCGTTTTTGTAATTTTGGTGATGTTTACATAATATTCATGAATTTTAAATTTTCCGGGGGAAAAACGACGAGCTCAGTGTTATTACTTCCGTTGATAAAGAATGATAAAAAACTAAATGAAAAACCATCTAATGTTGTTTTAAATAAGTTTCCGAATTCTTTAAATTTCTTTTCAATTTTATCCAAATAAAAAATAAATGCAGCTTCAGTTTTTACATCATCGTGAGATATGTCGACTAATAAAACACTTTTATGAATTATAAAAGAATTAAATTTGTAATGTATGTTATTTACTTCAGTTTTTATTATAAACAAAAGTTTTTCAATCTGCTCGAGATTAGATTCACCTTTTTTAAGAGTACTATACAACGTTAATACTTCATTTAATGTTTTATCTTCAATGTTAATCAATTTAACCAAGTCGGTTATGAGAGACATAAAAAAATCAATGCGATAAAAGTAATCAAGACGATATTTATATTCTGAGCTGTCCACCTTTTGATAAGCATTCAGTTTCACCCAAACAAAACAACATAGATTTGACTTAACGATATCTAAAAACATTTGTTGGAGTCCTAAGTTTTTTAACGGATCCCTTATCCAGTCGTAAAATGACTGCTGTTCGGTCATCTTACTAATCTCGTTTTGAAATAGACCGTTTATCTTACTCCATCCAAAAGTAACACTAGTTATTGAATCGATCCGTGGTTTGCACCGCTCAATATTTCCCAAGTATAGTTGGTCGAAAGAGAGAGGCAGTGGTCTTCTATTATTGTTAAAATGTGTATGCAGTTGGGTGTTAAAATTATCATGTTCCAAAATATTAATGATACATTCATTTGCACAACTTTTTTTCTCTATGTATTTATGTTTTATACACATCTTAACCAATTCACCTAAGGATGTTTTATACTGGCCTAGATCACGCAAGCCTCCTTTCGTTAATTGCGCTATCCAGGCCTCGCGGTCCAAAGTCTCTGGTTTTAAAAGGTGGATATGTAATTTCAAAAGCCATGCGAAAATCACGAATTTTCCCAAGTATGCCATCTTTATCATATTGTATACACGCAGAATAATATGTTCCAGATTCCATTCGGTGTCATATAAGTTATTATATAACATAAAATACTCTATGCACTGTACTTCTTGCATTTTGCGGTAGAATTTCAATTGAGTTCGTACTTTATATTTGATTGGGTCTTTTGACCTACTCGAAGTCAATATAATTTTTTCTTTTTCGTCAAAACGAATGGGAGAGCAACTCAACGTCTTGTACGAGCCCAACAGTTCAATGAAACTATTTGAGTATTTGCCAACATTGATGTAATGGTCAATGAATGCATTCTAAAAAACAAAATGATATAATTATTTTTATCAGAACACAGGCTCTAGACTTATAGTAAGTAAAAAAAATCAAAACAGTTATAAGAACCAACGGAATTGTCAATTTCGTACTTCCAAACTAGACCAACGTTAGTGTAAAAGTAACCAAAAATATTCCTAAAGATCAATATGGAGGAATATTAATGAAGCAAGTCCCTTAAACTTAAATAAACTTGCTTTAAATGTATTTTTAAGCAAATCAAGCTCATCGTACTAATCATATCAGCGGATAATTTTATTTTTGTACTTTTAAAATTGATTCATAGTAATTATTATTAGAAATATAATATTTTATTCTATTTTCAATTCACCTTTACACTTCTGGGTAAATCCATTTTCTCCATAGCTTTGTCTACTTCCTTAGCAATAGGCACTAATTCAGATAATAAAACGGATTTCACACTCGTTAAACCCAAAACCAACTCGAATGATAAAATTATAAGACTTGAGTTTGCGGCCATCATGAATAATTAACTGTTGCTAATACTTCGGTTATTATTATAAGGTTTTTTTATATTGTAATAAACGAACAAATTATAATGTATACGATAAAGATACTAGTAAATTTATTCGACATCAACTGTGTATTATATCTTACCATGTAGAGCAGTTATATTATACAATAACTTAAGAATGGTATAGTATCGAATCCAACGCTTAGACGTGTGTAATACAATAGCAACTAGAAAGTTTACTTAATAAATGTGACGTTTCTGCAAGTGGACTCGTTGATAGTTATACAGGATAATAAAAACTGTATGTCAGTTATCTTTTTTTTTTTTATAAAAAAAATTGTTTTTTGCTAAAATAGTTATAAAGAAAATCTCAAAACATTAAACTATCAAAAAATGTAAAGGTTTTTGTAATCTTGAAAGTTTGTTTCAGAAGGTCAATTTAAAAGTTTTACACTAGAATATTAACTATATTGTTATAACTATAAATAGTATAGCTGTGGCAGCGATGTGACTTCAAGGTCTAAGAAGAGTTATTTTTTTTTCTTACTATTCTACAAGTTCATACTGTTATACAAGTTTCATCACGCTATACATTTCAAAGTACAAACCGCTTCATTGGTTTTTTTAGAAGACTTGTTATTTGACGGTTAAAAAACAGCAAAACTGAAAAACGCGTATAAATAAAATGTGGTTCACTATTGTTGACACCTTTTAGGCTTTTGCATGAAGGGCATGCAATTATTTGTATTTCAATACTGTTTAATACCATAGTGTTTTAAAATCCTAAACTAATAGAAAATGACATGGCATAGCCCTTAGAGAAAGAGTGGTAAAATGTATAATGTTCAGGGAATAGCATTTTCAGTCAGTACTATTGCAATATTGCTGCCTTATACATGATATACAAAAATGTTGACAATTTTAAGAATATTAAATTTCGTAACAATTTTAATAAAAATATTTTTAAATGTATACTATTGCCAATTAACGCTAGAAATAATTACTCAAAGTCAAGTTCTTATTTTATTATGCCAAAATGGGCTGCGTTTGTCATCCACCGACTGCAGTCCTGTAATGAAATGTGTGATACTTCTGCAATGTTTTCGGTGTAGCAACGGGCTACCTAATGGAGATGGCAGCGGCTAAAGTTTAACTTTACTGTTCGTCCAAGTCGTTGTTCAAATTTTTCTGGGATGGTGTATTAAGACGTAGATAACACTTGGTGTAGAGATTCAGATATAGACTATGAGTGGTAAGATGGACAAACAACCACATATTTTGTAAAATACAATGTTAAGCAAGTGCCAATATGCAAATAATTTTACTATCATAAAAAACATAAAAGTTGAATTCACTTGAACATTAAATAAAGATATGAACATCATAACTTATCAAAATAATTTATACTGTACAGTGTACACTATTAAAATAAGAATAATTTTGGAAAACGTATTTATATTTATTTAGCAGTATTGCGATTTGCATACAATATTATTACAACTTATAAAGTTTTCCGAGGGAAAAAAGATGAGCTTAGTGTTATTACTTCCGTTGATAAAGAATAATAAAAAACTAAATGAAAATCCATCTGCTGTTGTTATGAATAAGTCTCCGAATTCTTGAAATTTTTTTTCAATGTTATCCAGATATAAATCAAACGCGCGTTCGGTTCTTAAATCATCGTGTGATATGTCGACCAATACATCAGTTTTATATATTTGTAATGAATACATTTTTTGATAAAGGTTATTTACTTCAATTGTCATTCTTGTCAAAAGTTTTTCAATGTGCTCGTGATTAGATTCAACTTTATTAAGAGTACTATACAACGTTAATACTTCATTTAATGTTTGATCTTCAATGTTAATCAACTTAAAAATGTTGGTTATCAGTGACATAAAAAAATCAAGGCGATAAAAGTAATCAAGACGATTATTATAATTAGAGTAGTCCACCTTTTGATAAGCAATGAGTTGTACCCAAACAAAACAATATAGCCTTGACCTAACGATATCTAAAAACATCTGTTGGAGTCCTAAGTTTTTTAACGGATCTCTTATCCAGTCTTGAGTTGACAGCTGTTCGGTGATCTTAATAATCTTATTTTGAAATAGAAGATTTATCTTATTCCATCCGATACTAACACTAGTTAACGGTTCAATCTGATGCTTGCACCGTGTAATATTTCCCAAGTATAGTTGGTCGAAAGAGAGGGGCAATGGACTTATATTACTATTAAAATCTTTATGGAGTTGGGTGTTAAAATTATCATGTTCCGAAATGTTTTTGATCCATTCAATTTGCCACCTTCTTTTCTCTATGTATTTATGTTTTATACACATGTTAACCAATTCACCTAAGGATGTTTTATACTGGTCTAGATCACGCAAGCCTCCTCTCGTTAACTGCGCTATCCATGTCTCGCGGTCCAAAGTCTCTGGTTTCAAAAGGTGGATATGTAATTTTAAAACCCATGCGAAAATCACGAATTTTCCCAAGTATGCCATCTTTATCATATTGTATACACGCAGAGTAATATGTTCCAGATTCCGATCGGTGTCATATAAGTTATTATATAACATAAAATACTCTATGCACTGTACTTCTTGCAATTTGCGGTAGAATTTCAATTGAGTTCGTACTTTATATTTGATTGGGTCTTTTGACCTACTCGAAGTCAATATAATTTTTTCTTTTTCGTCAAAACGAATTGGAGAGCAACTCAACGTCTTGTACGAGCCCAACAGTTCAATGAAACTATTTGAGTATCTGCCAACATTGATGTATTGGTCAATGAATGCATGCTAAAACACAATAATATTACTATTATTAGCATAACATAGGCTTTAGAATTTGAGTAAGTAAAAAATAATAAAATATTTAGTAGAGTATAAATTGCAAGTTCGTCATGAGAATCAATAGAGTTTTTGTATCAACACAAACCAACGAAATTTCGTTAAATATGCAGTTTTGACATTTTCATGTCTTAGCTCTGGCATGTAACCGAAAAAAATCAGCCATTTTTCAGCCGAGTCTGCAACCTCGATAAAACATTTTCATGTCTCGTTGAAGTACCGAATAAATTAAGATAAGTTGTGGAATTATAATTTAAAAAAAAAAATTACATGGAGCTTCCAGTTACATCATAAGGCCAAAGAGATTAAAAAATTATGTACAATCAAGTTTCTGGCTGAAATTGTAGTGTTTATTATCTGGCCAAAATTAACTTAACATAGAGAATTAAACTATTTTGAATTTATTATTTAGTTCTATTTTGAACGTTGAACGTATAACATATCTTATCTTATCTCATATCAGATAACAGCGTAACGCTTTTTTTGGTAACATTTTTTTTCGGTTATGTACCCGCTAATTCTCACCCCCAACCCTATTCCCATTCCCACCCCAAACGTCATCTTCAACCCCATTTCTGTTTTTGTTACGCTTTTTTGATAACGCTTTTTTCGGTCATGTGCCATAGCTATATTTTCATGTCTTAGCTCTGGCACATAACCGAAAAAAGCGTTATCAAAAAAGCGTAACGAAAAAAGAAATGGGGTTGAAGATGAAGTTGGTGGTGGAATTAGCTGTGCTGCATAACCGAAAAAAAGCGTAACGACAAAAGTGTTACCACACGTAGATGGGGTTTGGGGTGGGAACGGGGATGAAGATGGGGGTGGGAATAGGGATGGGGTGGGGGGTGTGTTGGGGGTGGGAATAGGGATTGGGTGGGACTTGGGTTGGGGTGTGTTGGGGGTGAGGGTAGGAATTGGGGTGGGAATGGGGATGAAGATGGGGTAGGAATAGGGATCGGGGTGTGTTTGGAGTGGAAATGGGGTTAGGTTAAGAAATATGATATAGGGTGGGAGATAGGGGGTAGGAGAAAGGAAGTAAGAGATAAGGATAAGACATAAGAGATATGTTGTACGTTCAACGTTCCAATTAGACCTAAATGATAAATTCAAAATAGTTTAAGGGTCCAAATTCTCTATGAATTGTTTTAAGCCAGATATTAAACACTACAATATTAGCCAGAAACTTGATGTTTTAATATACTAGCTTGTTACTGCTTCTTAATATACTATATCATTATCTATAATTCCACCACTACTCTAAAAATTTTTCGGTACTTCAACGAGACATGAAAGTGCTCTTTCGTGGTTGCAGACTCGTCTGAAAAACTCATATTTTACTTAGATTATTAAATGTGAACTCCTAACCAATAAATAGTCCTTCATTTCAGTATTTATGCTCTCATGGATTTGGCATAGGTATGCGAGTTATGTTGGTCTGGTTCTGAGGTACAGAATTTACATTGGAAGGATTTTACAATTTACATTTTTTTCATATTTACAAAAATGAAATTTACAATTTTACAGGAGAGCAAAATGAGCAGTATTCTTTTTTATTCAAATATAATTATGTGCTCCATTATTCGATTCCCCCGGCAAATTGAAGTAAAACAGTGTAGTCAACTTGATTTGGCCAAAAAAAAAAATGATAGTTGTTGCCTTTTTTATTAAAATATAATTATGTCATCCATTATTCGATTCCCCTGGAAAATTGAAGTATGACAGTGTAGGTAACTTGATTTGGACAAAAAAAAATAATAGTTGTTGACCGTTGCAAATTAAGCGACGACATGATGTTCAAGAATCATATCATAGTATCGAGGTGGTACTCGATTAGAAATAGCAAAAAAATAAATAGTTTTTTTACTAAACTTTTTAAATTTGACCATTCTCGATGAATCAAATCAGTGGTTATTTTTGTTTTTTGTTTTTTTTTTAAGTTAATACATAGTAATTAGTATTAGAAGTAGTAGTAGTAGTATGTACTAATTATTACATAGTAACTATTATTATAATATTGGATTTTATTTTCAATTCACCTTTACACTTCTGGTTAGATCCATTTTCTCCATAGCTTTGTCTACTTCCTTAGCAATAGGCACAAATTCAGGCAATAAAACGGATTTCACACTCATTAAACCCAAAACCAACTCGAATGATAAAATTATAAGACTTGAGTTTGCTGCCATCATGAATAATTAACTGTATAGCTAGTACTTTGGTTATTATTATAAACTTCCTTGTTGTAATAAACGAACAAATTTTTAAATTATAATGTATAAGACAAAAATACTAGTAAATTTATTCGACATCAACTGTGTATTATATGTAGCCGTGTACAGGGATTATTCGATAACATTATAATGGTATAGTATCGAATCCAACGCTTAAACATGTGTAACACAATAGGGACTAGAAAGTTTACTTAATATATGTAACGTTTCTGCAGGTGTACTCGTTGATAGTTCTACAGGATAATAAAAACTGTACATCAAAGTTATTTTTTTTAAAAAGGTTTTGAAAAAAAATCCTAAAACATCAAACTATTAAAAATTATTTCAAAAAATGTAAAGGTTTTTTCATCTTGAAAGTTTGTTTCAGAAGGTGAATTTAAAAGTTTTACACTCGAATATTAACTATATTGTTATAACTATAAATAGTATAGTTGTGGCAGCGATGTGACTTCAAGGTCTAAGAAGAGTTATTTTTATCACATACTATTCTACTAAGTTCATACTGTTATACAAGTTTGATCACGCTATACATTTCAAAGTACAAACCGCTTCAATCGTTTTTTCCAGAAGACTTGTGGTTTGACATATCATTCACGGTTAAAAAAACTGAACAGCGCGTATGAATAAAATTTAGTCAAATATTGTCGACACCTTTTTAGGCTTTTGCATGAATGTCATGCAATTATTTGTATTATACTACGGTTTAACACCAGAGCGGTTTCTAATACTAAACTTAGTGGATTTCAGCCTGGAATTCTTAAAAAAATAATCTCGACAAAATATAGAAACCAAAAGGCTTCGCAATGATGTTTATTTTTCATCCTTTTGACCGACTCAAACCGACTAGTTAGTTATCAATAGTTGTCGAAAGAATATTTTCCACCAAGTAATTCTAAATTAAAAAAATGCCAGTACAGAAAACATAAATTCATATAGCGTGCAACGGCTGTGTCACTCTTAGGTGAATGAAACGGTGGCAACAAGCGCGCACAGATGTCTTGGTTTTTTCCCTTCTGTTTCCAATTTGTTCCGCTAACCTATCCCATGAATATAAGACTACTAAATACTCCAGTATACACCCGTTTTTGGACAGTGGTGTTTTTCGGTGAATAACTAGAGGGTATGTGATAATTTATGAATTTATGGCAAAGCATGTTTCTAGGCTAAAACATTAAACATTTTTATTGCTCAGATTATTTTCAAAGTCATCCATATTTTTAAGTATACTTAATTTAGAATAATGAATAAAGTTAGGTCATTGTTTCCCATATTTCTGTGCCTAAACATGATGTACAAATATGTTGACAACGTTAAAAATATTAAATACCGTATCAATAATTGCTGTTAAAATATTTCTAAAGGTGTACTATTGCCAATTAACGCGATAAGTGATTACTCAAGGTTAATCTACACAGTGTTACAGTATCAACAAAAAGGGGTTGCCTTGGGTATAGAAAAGGGTTGTTGGCCCAGTATAATATTGTGCACAAACGTCCAAGACAAGGATAAGGACAAGTTTAAGTTGGGGTAGGGACGAATGCCCATTACCCGGACACGACAATAAAACCATTTTACGTTTTGCAATAAAAATTACTATAATGCATTATCATAAGAAACATATAATACGCGTTTGCTGCTGCTATTTTCTAACCTTTTCATACAATAAGTGCGATTGTAAAATATGTGCTTAAGTATTAAAATCTCGGTAGTCATTCGACTGAACGTATATTACCGTGTGAGACTCCTACATAAAATAACAAAAAAAACCAGCCCAAGGTGTTTCGACATGATCTTTTGTTCGAGTTTGGGCCGCCTATGACTGTTCTTTTATTTTGTATTTAAAAAACCATTTCATATACAGGGTGTTCCAGCGTGATAAGTAAGTAATAGGTGATTGAACATCTAGGGTCCCCCAAAATAAGCCCCCCGTTTTCAATTTTTCGATTAGTTAAAAATTGAAGATTTCGACAGTTAAGTAAAAAAAATAATGACCTAAAAAACAAAAAATTATTCCATGTTATTCGGTGCAAAAAGGTAACCTTAAAAGAAGGGTCACATCATTTTCAGTCCCTCTCGGCCCCAAACTCAAAAAATGATAAGAGACCAGAAATAAGTGATAAAAGATAAATGCTAAGACACAATTGATATGAGATAAAAGAAAAGAGATAATTGTTAAGAGATAAATTATGAGAGATTAGAGATAAATGATAATAGATAGGTGCTAAATGATAAGAGATTAGAGATAAACAATTAGAAACAAGAGATAAGATATTAGTGATCAGAGATAAATGGTTAGAGACTAAAGGTAAGAAATAAATGATCAGATAAGTGATAAGAGAAGAGTTAGGGACTGAAAAAGACTGAAAATGATGTGATACCTCTTTTAAGGTTAGCTTTTTGCACTGAATAACATGGAATAATTTTTTGTTTTTTTAGGTCATTATTTTTTTACTTAACTGTCGAAATCTACAATTTTTTACTAATCGAACAAATGAAAACGGAGGGCTTATTTGGGAGTCCCCTAGATGTCCAATCACCTATTACTTACCTTTCGTGCTGGAACACCCTGTATATGATGGGTGTAGTTTTTATTTTGAATTAATTTATGCGAAACACACATAAACGATAATGCATAATGCATTTTATATCCGGTGGTATTACTTATAATAATATGATACAACGGTAAACGCTAAACATACAATTGATATTTATTTGACGCGTTAGGTTGTCAAAAAAATAAGAAAATTAGACCTTGCATTTCCTTTGGTAAATCAAATATTTGAATAGTCGCAAAACACCTATTTTCTCGATGATTTATTTGCTCAGAATTCGATTTAAAATCTTAAAGAGCAGATTTTTTAATTACAACTAAATACCTACTTATTTCAAAGACACATTGTTGTCTTGAATAGTGTTCAATATAACATAATATTGTATGGCATTTTTATGTCGACACAGAATTGTATAAATGTAAAAGTTTTCAAAATCCAATTCTGAAAATGCTAAGTGTATAGAAAAATGACTTAGTTGAGTAAAGACAAAATAATATAATAATGTGCCAGTAATAACACAAATATATAAATAATAAAAAAAAATGAGAGCATAATAAAATATAGAAAATAATTGTATTTAAAGGGACAATAAAGAGAATATAAATAACATCATACATAGAGCATTATCAGTTAATTTATTGCCAAGAGAGAGACATTAACATATTTATTGGATGGTTTGCCCAATGCAGTTCTGAGAGACAACTCTTAATAACAACAGCTGTAAATAGAAAACGGCGAATTTGTCATTCTCAACAGCTATAACTTTCAAAATGCGTTTTTCGAAATCACAGAGGACCTTCGAAAATATTAACTTGAAGTTTTTTTCTAGTAAACTTGTTGTTTGCACGTGTTATATACCTACATGATAAAATTACTAAAACGGCCGACCGATCGGAATGCACTACCGACTCAAAGTGTTGGGATTTCTTTTGTGACATATTATTAATTGAGGCGATTAACACTGCGGACCGATGAATAATGCAACGCGTTTATTAAATGCACATTTAATTAGTATTCTAAAACCGAAATCATATCGCACCGAGAAACACAATATGTTAGCAACAGGACTTAATATGTACAATGAGTGAAAAAACTAAGGAAATATTAACTGCGTTGCGTGGAAACATTATACTATAATGGGTCAAGAAAAAAAACCGAAGGCTATATAACGAACAATGAAGTCAATATTATATGCAAATGTAAATAAATTGTACGTTTTGCGCAGCACTTGACGTCGTTATATATGTAGTTTGGCAAAGAAAAAATAATTGCATTTATTATATTTTAATGAAACTTTATTAATATGTTATCTGCGCGTAAGACGCCAACACGCGAGTCGTAGGTATGTGTTATATTATACTGCTGATATCTAATTTCCATCAATAAAATATAAATATCAATGTATAAGGTAAATAAAATTTTATAATAAATGATATTATATTATATTTATTTATTTATGTAAAAAGTGTTGACGTGTCGCTCGAGGCAATTCGTTTCGAACAGTTGGCAACCGTCAATAGTTTATTATTATTATTATTATTATATATTGTAAACTGGTTATAAATTGTTTTTTTTAAGGTATACAAAACTGCAGCGAATAACCACTGTTATTGTATTTAAATTATTTAAACTATTTGATTTATAACTGTTAATTTATGCCAAATCCTAAACTATCTTATAAGGTCTATGATTACTAAGAATGGGAATTCGAAAAAAATGTTTATTAAATTATGAATACTACTTTTATGATATTATGCTTAAGTTTTAATCTCATTTCAGTAACAAAATGTAATACAAATTTCGGTAATCAATCAATCTTAAAAATTATTTTTGACATTTTAAACTCAAAATCTACACACTGTCCGTTTACTGTAACCTGACCTAACTTACCCAGACTACACTAATCCAATAATGTAGATAACCACTTGACAGATTCGTGTGAATCAGGTCCACGGTGCTTATATAACAGCTAAACGCAGTAACGCAGTAAACGTTTACACAAAACTGGATTTGAACCGATTTATAGTTGCACGTTTGAAATTTGGATTAAGACAGTTACAAGAACATGATAATATTTCTACACCTAACCGAGTTGTGTTAATAAAATACAACATAATAAGATAGCTTAATATTGTATCAACTAGTTTTTTTATATATAATTAGTTTTAAATATTTAGTACTCGAATACAAATTGATTAAGTTCAATACACATATGATTAACAACAAATAGCAATTAGACACTCAATTGCAGACTATGCAAATTAATTACACATATTTTTAACACATCATAAATATGTCGATAGTAAATATTTGATCAATTTAATTGATTTTTAGTTGTAATCATTTATAGGTTGATCATTATTGTTTTCAGGCCTGGTTTTAATACCACATTTGCAAATATGTATGATGTGTTATTATTACAAAAAGAAAAGGAACAAAATACCCGTACAGAGTTAATTCGATTAAATTTACATTTCCCATGGATATATTATTATAATATCAGTATAGTACCGTTGGAGATAATATTAGTAGACAGTTAATAGATGGGCATGGGGAAAGGTGAACGAACTGCCGTGACGTATAATATAACATTATCATAATCCATCAAGTCCGTTAAATATGAAAATATACGAAATTTAATTTTACTTAACAGTTTGCATATTGTATTAATATGCAATGTAAAAAAAAAAAAATCACTACAATGATGTACAAATAAAGCAATTCAGCCGCGTTGTAAACAATGCCATGGCGGTAAACCCCTTGCCGCTCCTATAGGTGTCTCATCGCTGTGTCTTAAGAACACCATCTTTAACACACCTTTCGACGGGACCAGTTATTGACACATATAGGAATAGCTGATGTCGTCGATTGGGTGGCGTACACAATCGTTCAATAATTATTATTTTGTTCCTTGAAAAAAAAAAAACTGCAAACGGATGACTTGCTAATTCCAAACGGACGGTGAATACAGATAATAATGCTTCAAGATGTATGCGACTTATTCCTAATAATATTGTTGTTTTTATTACAATAATAATAATAAGACTTAACCGTTTTGCCTTGCCTATGTTTTGTATATATATTTTTTTTAAATTAACAGTACTATAAAAAAAAAAGAGGTGTTTAGAAGGTCAAACGCAATAACAAGTAAATTACAAACACTGCGACACCTAATCTAAAATAATTTTCATCATCGTTGATTTTGATTAATTGGACAATACTAAGATAGATATAAATAATATGTCATATTATGCAAGGACGATATTGTTACCTTTTAAAATTGTATTTTTTTAAAAAATACTCTCCGAAGAGGTTTAGCAAAGACAAACAAATGTGCGATTAATTAGAACATTATTTCTGTTTGTTACAAAAATGAATAGTCAAAATGAATTATTACATTATTATCAGAGTTGTTTTTTTCTGAAAATTACTGTTAGTGTAAAACTCAAAGAAATGAAAACAATTGCAAAATAAAAAACTTGAAACGTTTTTATAAGAAAAAAAAAATCATGAACAGGTGTTTTCAAAAAAACATCACCTGTACAGAATAATTAAGCATATCCGTCGTAATAGCCCGTATATAATAATAATTTATTGCATCCAAGGTTTTTTGTCCATAGAAAACATGGGAACCCGAATTATGGAAATTAGTCGGTACTTTACACAATCTATAATAATCGAGTTCTTTGTGTCAGTGTTTTAACATCTATTATTTACCTTTAAACATTCACACGGCGGTTTTATATGGACAAAAAAAAACATGATATTTCTATTATTGTAAAAGGTGAAACCACTACTATTTTCGTGAGTGGGTTGCATACTGAATGCAAATCTAACCGAAGATTACAATCGACAGACATATTTGATATTTACTATTATAATATTTCATTAATTGACCGACCAACGGAATTATAACGTTTAATCGAAAAATGTATTTATATGCTATACTATTAAACAACTAATATATATATATATATATATATATATATATATATATATATATATATATATATATATATATATATATAACTAATATACTTATAGCTGTAGCGGCATAAGTGTATGATACTTTATAATACGTCCAAGTGTGTGAATTGAACTCTTAATGCGACCAAAATATTTGAGTAGTACAAGAGGTAAAAACGGATACCTAAGTATTATTTTGTATTTTCAGCAAATATATCATCCAATAGACATTTGACTATAAATAGACAAAGACACAGGGCAATCAATGCTAAATTTATTATTTGTAAGCGAATATGTGTTGAAAAAATGTTAATAAAGAAAATGTTTCCGCCCCTTCTAAGGAAAAGAGTTAATGATATTTTTTTTAATGAAAATATATATATACATGGATAGTACTTTACTCTATACCTTTAGAGTCCCCCACACAAATTTGGAACTCATTTTCAGGTACGGTTTTTGGAACTACTTGCAAACAATTAAAAAAAATAAGCAGGACCGTTTAAACCAGCCAAAGTATAAACCAGCACACCGTTTACTAGGACAGTACAATCCAAGTACAATATGAATCAGCACAATTTACATCAAGCACAATTATCTTAACTGAACATCTAACTATAAATAATGATCTATGTCCTTCGGTATTTTTAACATATTGTTATTATAATATAATTTATAACTGTTAAAAATAGAACGTTCAATCGAATTCGAAAATTATATACTCAAATTGGAATTAGAGCGAAGCTGTTAGCTACAATATAATATATTTTGTCTAGGAAATTCTCTGTTTATCCTTTCCCGGTGTGTAGGTACTCCACTTGCGCGTTTGTGCACAATTTAAAATAATATACATACACGAGTCAATAGAAGAAACAAAGTAAAAAAAAAGTTGACACATTATACTACTGGGAAGGTATCGGGTGAAACGTCTGAAGGAAAACGTTATGAAGCAATCCGACCTGGATGACGGATAAAAAACCAAATAAAAAACGTGTGGGAGGCAGGAAGCGACATAGGCGGAAGTCGAAGAAATAAGAGTAAAAAACAAAAAGGGTTTGACATTATCAGACGCCGCCAATTCCTTGGAACAGATGGGCGCGCGCGCACCGTTACCGTATCCGAGCAATGGATCCTTTACACGGTTTTATTTTAAATCTTCCAACGGGTTGTTACACACACACACACACACCGCATACTTACAAAACTTCTCTATGAATGGGGCGTCGTTGATAATAATTGAACAGAATATTAGTATATTTCTATTTTTGGGAGACGCGTTTCCTCATATAAAGCGCCCGGCCAGAGTCAGGACTCCTTCTTTTATACATACAGAGATAATATAATAATAAATTAATGCGCACTAAGCCTTAATGACGACCATTGGGGGGGGGGGGGAAACGGTTATTAAAACCTATTTCATCCTGTTGTTAAGTCGCCGTCGTGTCCGAGGGATGTTTTCTCACAGGTGTTCCCTTTCGTACCCCTATAAATTATAATATGATGATATTTATTTTGCTGTGAAAATGTTCAGTACATTTCAGTCTTAATTTCAAAAGTCAATTAAACACACACGTTCCCAGTTAAGTTTCAATAGTTTACAGTACTCTTAAAAAATTAAAGCACATACAAATTAGAATATTTTCTAATACTGTACAAAAACATTAACTCTTAAGTAACGCAAAAAAAAGAAAAATTACAAATTGGAATAATCGTTTTAAGACAAAATTAAAATGCCTTATTCTCAATTAATCACATCAGGTGATCAAATTTTGTAAAAAAAATATATTCTTTAAATAACTTATAATTTATTGAAGAAACCCTAAAAAATCAAAAAATCTACATATGAAATACACATCAATTGTTATATTTTATCTAATTTGTAAAAAAGAAACATTCTTCGTTGGTAGTAAAATTTATGAGGGCCTCACACCACTTTTTTACATGCTAAATATTAAAAAAGGAAGGGTTATAAGTAGTTGACGGTTTTCCAAATTATTATACTCGGCTCTCTGTCAAGTGTAAGAAAAATAACACATAAATATTTTTAAGGCCAGCGACAAAAATTATGATAAAAAAAAAAAACAAAATTATAAACCATTGTAATACAAATAGCTTATAATAAATTAATACACTTAATCTGACCATTCTACCATTCTGATTCTGAAATTCAAAATGTATAATATAAATCAAAATTAAGACGGTAAGTTTGTTTTGGCACATATTATAAGCTTCTGTAAGTATAGTTCTATAAGTTCAAACCACATAGGTCTCAACTCATCTAAAAAAAATACTTTTTTTTTCAAAGTAAAATCGCATTAACGTCATGTTAAACAAATAGTACCTACAGGCTTTTTGATATGGATCTGTGTGTTGTGCAGTAAACTGTATAGTCATAGGCGCATTGTTTTTAAAAAATGTTTACCAATAGGAGAGCAAATATAGAAACCATTTGCTCGATAATTTTAACTAATCACTTTTTGTTTTCGTCGAAAGAAACAAAATAATAAATCGCTGTAAGGCAATAAGCTCATGTTACTGTACATGTCTCGCATTGTATTAGTATATTCAAAAGCCTTACAAAGCAGTACAAAGCTATAAGAATTTTATAACAGGCTGTCGTTTGGTTAAAATTCTGGTACACGAATTATTACCTTTATCAGTAAAGTGAAAAGTATTAAAATGTATTCCAAGTACATAATTGTATTTTCTTTAACTTATTATTGTGTTCCAACAGTGATGTCTTTCGATGAATCGGTATTTATAACTATTTTCATAGGAAAATGTAGAACTTTGTTAAGTATCGTTTTATTTTTTTTTATTTGCCAAAAAGTAAAACTGACCATTTTCAAAAGGTTAAGTGTATACTTAAGCAATTATTTGCCTTTTTAAATGTACAACAAAATGTGTTACATAATACATTAGTATATTAGTAAGTTTTTTATTGTTAGAATTACTCATACTTAAAATTATTCGAGTAAAAAAAATGTGTTTCTATAATTAGGTACTGTTTTTACATACTTTTTCTGTAAAATATGTAGTTAATATTATACGTTTATACGAAATAATGTTTTAACATGAAATTACTTCAAAAAAAAGCAAAACTATTGGATTGAGTTTGTGAAAAATATATGCGAATCAAATTGATTTATAATTTGTATTTGATTAATAAATAATCATCCGCTTGGTATATTGTGTTAGGAATTTGTGAAACTGTTCGACGAATTAAGAAACGAAGGAGAAGGTTATGTTACTCGGAATACTTTGGGCAAAATATATGATGTCAACGACAAAGATGAACTAGACTTAGTGTTGAATAATTTCGGAATCACTTTCTATGGCGAAAACGGTTTTCGTGAAACAAGAGTGCACCTAGATAAATTTAAGCAGGCTGCAAAGGCAGGCTTCATACATAGATTTCCTAAAGAGGTAATATTCTAATCATTACCTAACTAATTGTTTGCCATATATTGTAAAACTAAAACGTGTACAAAAAAAATATATGTTTAGGAAATGCTAGTGTTATTTTTCAAAATCATTGGACGTGGAATACGGAAAATCCATATTACTTACAGTGACCTGGTGAGTTATTATGGTCAAAGAGTTCTTAGATCTCAAATCGACAATGTTATGACCAAATTCGGAATAGAAAGCCGTAAATATTATTTTTAATAACTGCATCTTATTATTATATTTTTCTGCAATGTAGTTATTAAGCTATGCATATTGTGCTTTTGCAGCGTTGACGTTTCACTTATTGTACTTAGGTTTTATTTGATTTCTACGTTTCACATATATATTATGTTGGCGTTTTTCAGCCAATGGAAGTGAACGCCGATTAAGTTTGTTGGGCTTTAGAAGAGCTGTGAACACTGGTGGTATTCCAGCCTGGTTGTTATGCAATAATTGTAAGGACAACGCTACTAAAATGATAATCATAATTAATAAATTATATTTCAAATAACTATTGTAACTATTTTGTTGCCATAATACTATAGAAGCAATGTAATATGCCGACTTATACGTCATGATTAGGCACTGTTATTATACTCAATAATAACAAAAATATAATTTGTGTACTTGTTACTGTTTATAAGACCCATAATAATTAGCATAGGTCTTATACAATTATTGTTAAACCCTTACTAGAAGAGGGCCACTTAGCCAAATTGTTTGATTTTAAATGTTGGACAAAGTTTTTCAAAACGTTGGTACCCCATTTAATGTACTCGAAGCCTGCATTAATAAACATGCAATGTTACTTCACTACGTTTAATTATATAGTGTAAAATATGTGTAACATATAATATTATAATAGCCATGCTAATGCATAATTCAAGCGATTTAGTATACATGGACGTTTCATAATATACAGATTAGGCATAATATGTTATTTACACAACAATATCAGCTATTGACCCTTGTTCAGTCCGGCAAGTCATCTTGTTATTCCACGAGACACTTCAGTAGCAGAAGTACTTTGGGCCAGGTGGGGAAAAAAAAAAGCAAAAAAGTATATTTTAGTATACATACATATAATGTGAGCTAGGTACTTATAAGCCGACCCAGATCACAACAATTCTACAAGAAAGAAAATTTTCTTTGTTTACAAGCATGTTTTTCTACACGAATCAGTTAGGATTTTTCAAAAGTTAACTTTGTGTGTATTTACCATTTGTATTTGTTTATGTTATGATGTGTTGGTATTATATTAACTCACAAATTGTACAGCTGCGTTATCCATGAAAAAATATGTTCCTTTTTTCTTTCGGTCGTGCAATTTTTTCGAGCTTCTAAAACACGTGTGCGGTTGAGTGTCCATAAATAAAAATCTACCTACCACAGTTACTGTTTTTTTAATTTCTCGGTAAGTACTGATTTATGTTAAGACTCGCACTGTGGTCTTGTATACTACGTACAAGTTGTACAGTGACAATAATACCAAAATAACATTATTAACACCATGATTAGCGCGCTGTGCCTATACAATCTATACAATGTCGGTGGCGGCTTACTAGTTTTAGAAAACCAAAAAAAAAAAAAAAATACTTGAAAAGAATGAATGATGGAGCCGAAGAAATGCAAAACGATCACGGTTTTTAAAAATACACTGCTTTAGCCGAGATTTATAGCCAAAAAAAAAAACGAAGAAGACAAATTAAGATTATTTTTTATGATATTTATCTCGACCGCGAGGCGGTTTAAGTTTTAAACTAACGGCAAGTGGCTAATATAATATTTTTTTGTAATTAATATACTTTTACTTTACAACGCTGGGAAAAAGTTGCAAAATATAAATAATTAACTTAAGCCGACACAATACTTGATAATGCAATATTATATTAGGTCGACAAAGCGTGTCGGAGCGAACTCAAGAGGTCATTTCCGAGAATCGACAACTTACGGCAAGTTCTTCAGAGCTTAACCATCAGAGTGCACCACTGGACGGTGAATAAAGTCCAAGCAAACGGAACACCCTTGACTTTTGTGGTTAACATCAGAGAAATAGCGAAGAAAAGTTGATATTGAACACTTCAAATTCGATAAATAGTAAACCACAGTGGAAAACGCATCTATGATTTAAACAACACCTTCTTACATAGGTACAATAACATTTGACCTAAATCACCTCAGAAGAGACCGGTTTATATTTTTTTATTTTTTTCCAAACTGTTAGTTAGTTCAAAAAACAAAAAAACTATAAACAGATGTTCGCAACGTTAAAAATATATATATATATATATATTTTTTAATAAATATTTTATTTTTCATTCGCTTTGGACGGATATAAATTATTTGTCGTTGCAATTTGTACTTTGCTAAATCAAATTTAGATTTCCATCCTGTTTTGAATACAATAAATGTATATACAGGGTGATCCAACTAACGTAAGACACTCATTTTCTCTGAAAATATGAATATTTTTAGAATTTTAGGTGCATATTTTACTAAATTTTTCAATATTTTAAAAAATTTTTATCACCAATCCTTATAAGCCAAAAAGGGGGATTTTTGGTTTTTTGAATTGCAACATATGTTTTCAATTACATAAATTTGTAGACGAAAAATTAAAAAATATGTTAGCGTTTGAATTTTCAGTTTTCATTTATTTGTCCATTTTATATGTGTATATAGTCTATATATATATTGTGCTAGTATTAAAATAGAACCGAACGATGTTTATGGGATTGGGTTAAACAAAGGTAAAGTATATATATGAGTATATAAAGTATATATTATATAAGTTTCACAAAAATTGACATTTCCCCCCTCGAATTAAATTTGTTCTTGCAGTGTACGTTTTTCTCCATAGAAAATAGATAATCTGTTATAAAAATTTTCAAATATAAAGTAAAAAAAAAAAAAAGGTTGATTTTATCTTGATGAATTTTTTACTAAATTTTTTGTACTCTATCAATCTATGTAATGCATTAGTCGGTGTTGATAAAATACAAATATATAATGTCACGGGTCATGTAATGTTTTACAATTTTTTTTTTCAATATCAAAACTGACACGTTTGTATGGCAGACAGTGGTGCGTTTGATTTTTTTTTTTTGTTTAATTTTTTACCATTTTTTAAATTATTTTAATTAATTAACAAACGTTGAATTGAATGTCTGCAAAATAAGACTGGGGAAAAAATTACTTAACCAGTATAATATATTATTATTATTATTTTCTTGTGGCAAAATTATTTATCAAGAAGAAGATAAGTGAGACTGGTAAGTTATTAATTTTGTAAACGATAAAAGGGAGAGAACGTTTAAAGGACAGGTGTCAACGGCCGAATTACGTTAAGCTTTTTGTTGATATCTAAACGGAGATCGCATTAAGGTCATCATGTTATAGAGACAAAATTTTACCTAAACATCAACTCGACTGATATACAAGTTATAATACACAGAACCGGTTCGGTACTTCTATTGTCAACAAACATAACATTTATTTTTACTATCCGAGCAGTAAACGTTATCATATTTTTTTCAAAATCAAATGAAACGCAAAAGTAGTTAAAAATTGTACACAGTATTTGAATATTTTATGCCAAGATTATCAAAGATAAATGTTGCACGCGAAAGCCGCTATTAAAAACCAAAAAAAAAACTATATTAATAGTAGTGTATTTATTAATGATTTATTACAGCGAAAACCCTATTCAACATTAATCACATGCAAATTGTCTGACTTGAATATTATAATATTTCTTCTTTTTTTTTTTTTTTTTAAACGAGGTCATAATATTTTATGGCTATGTTTTTTTCAACACAAAAATAAATTCGTATACTTAATATTATTGGCCCACAATTGTATTTTCTGACAGATCAGCTGTAAATTGACCTATGATAAATTGTAATTACCTACTTGTTTATTTCTAATACTTGCTCTATGCTCGAATTTGGCAACCGACTTGAGTGAAAAAACCGTTTAATATGTCTGAAAGTAATAAAAATAAAATTACTTTCAAAATCTGGATAGCCATTTTGTTCATAAACGGCAAAACATAATATGATGGCGGAGAGGTCAACTTTATAAGCTTTTGGTCTAATAAACTATATTATCTTTACTAAACAATTTCAAACGGGCCATAAATTGGTCTGGTGATATAAAAAAGTTGGCGTGAGTCTCAAGTACAAAAAAAAATATTATTACAAAATCAATACACCTACCTTCTCAGTTCCTTATAAAAAAGTTTAACAAACTTTTTACAGTATTGACGTGCAGTTTTCAATTACTTTTTTTTTTTAACGGCTGTTTTTTTGTCATTAACGGTAAAGACTCACTTCCATGTTGTGGACGTATTAAAGCAACGCAAAGAGGTCAAGCTGAATCGTGTATGACCCTTTGAAAAGAAGCCTTTGCCGGGGAAAAATGCTACACCACTAAAATGTTGTCAGCCGGTTTCACTAACTTTTGTAAATACACACTCTTAACACAATGTTAGTTAACAATTCATTAAAATTTAACATCCGGTCAAATGAAATGAGTTTCACCGTAAAATTATTATTGGTAAATTCTATTTGTTAACAAAACGTTAGTTGGGTTACCAAAGCGGTTACCTCGATTCCAACGTTCTCATTGGTTATTAAGATATGTGATAACTGATAAGTGGTTGTATTATTTAATTTGTCAGTTTGTTATTATTTGGTATTTTATTTTACTTTCTTTTAACGTTTCGGTTCATATAAATAATTTATACATATATATATATATATATATATAAGTTTTTAACACATTGTTTAGATAGTCTATACCTTTCTAAAAATTGTTAATCATCAAGGTCATTAAAATAATTTTTTCTACTTTAAAGGCCTAAAAAAAAAGTAGGTAGTGATAAGAATTATTTCCATTTTTATACTCAGGACAGACAAGACATAATAATATTATCTAAATTACAAAATACAATAAATTATGATATTTGAACCTAAAATGCAAGTCTGTGTCATTCCTTTTTACCTAATCTACATAAAGTAACTTCTGCTTACCTAATAAAGGGTTATCGAATTTACTTTTCTATTGTTCTTTAAATACTCAATATAAAGAAGTTCCTCATTAAATGTGTAATTTATTATTATGTATTACTAGCATACTCAGTCAAAAAAAATTATAACATAATAACCCGGCTGTGTATATTTTTTTAATTGTAAATCTTAAGTTTAACATGTTCAGTGTATTGTAAAAACTCTGAACGTTACACATTGTATGAACCACATAGTAGCAACTGTAATATGAAAAGAATACCGTTAATAGCTGTTAAAACCCAAACGTGCCGTACATAATATTGTATAGGAAAAGATTAATATGGTATTAAAGTAATTATTATTTATCTACCGTTTATGCGTATCTACCTATACCTACCTACTACAGCTGTTTATAATATTATTACTGGCAACTATATCTGAATGATGTACGGTCGAAGACACCAAAGTGTTTCATTAATAACGCATAAAGTTTTTAATTGGT